TTCTTCTCACCCTCTTCCTAGTCAAGTCAAAGAGCAAGGGTCAAACATGAGAAGATTCTGTTCATCCTCTTGAACCACCTCCTGCCCTTCACCTTGATCGGCTCCCAGTCTCCCCAACTCTCCCATTTAGAGCAGAGAAGACCAAGAAGGACTAGAAAGCCACTTGTTTGAGGCACCACTAAGGCTCCCAGGTCAGCCTGTGTTTTAGGCTGGCTGGACTCTGCCGTGCCTCATCCTCAGCAGGTGGGCCATGGCTTCTCTCGGCTGCAGTGGCTCCTGCTCCACAGACCTCAGGCTGAGCTCTGCTGGGTCTTCCCCAACCTGCCTGCGGACCAGCCGTGCCTCTGAGGTTTCACAGCTCCCTCTTCTAATGACGTGTGCAGATGAGTCTTCTTGGTTCTAGGAGAACTTTGGATTTTCAGGTGCAAGGTGGTCTCCTGGACTGCTGGTCTCATGAGAGACCACAGGAATGTGCCCTAGCCCAGGGTTCCTCAGCCTCAGCACCATGGAAGCGTGGGGCCAGGTCATCCTTTGCTGCAGGGGACTATCCTGCACATTCCAAGAAAAATGGCTCAGACATGTTATTGGGAAACCCCTGACTGGACTCGGGCTGCCTGTCACTGTGTCCACTAACAGAGGTGGGGTTGAATCCCATAAGAGGTTTTATTGGGAAGGCCAGCCAGCAAGAAGACAGGGCACTTCAAGCATAAAATCCTGCCCCTCAGCAGGTACAGAGGACAGGGTTATATAGAGGAAGGGGCCGGGGTGAGGCTGGGAACAGAGTGCAGGTACACGTAGCCCTGAGGGTCCGCAGACGTCAGCTATTGTCTTTAGTCCTCAGGGGATGAGATGATGTGATGAGACGATGTTTTGACTCCTGGTGGGTCGGTCTGAGCCTGCTTATCTGAGCCATCTACCTGCTGGATTCACAGCTGAGTCACCTCCTCAATCGCTTCGCACAGGCCTTGAGAAGGAAACTTAAGAAAAACCTAACCTCCTAGTCACAGATGAGAAACTTAACCCCCTATTCACATAAGTACAGGTGCTCTAAGATGGAAAATATACGGTTATTTTTCAGATTAATGCAGGTGCTCTATCTATGAGGTTATAAGTCCCCCTTATCAGACACTGCAAAATGTTCCCAGGGGGACAAAACCGTCTCTGTGGCAAACTGTTGCCCAGCTTACCCCGAGCAGAAGGCATGTGGCTGAAGTAAGGACATGTTTTGCTTCATGTATGAAACCTGGATTCACATTGACTCCATAGCACCCTTCAGATGTGAGGTCACCTGTTTTTCAGTGAGAGGCTCACTTGAGGTCTTCAGTCTTCGGGGTCCCTTCATCAGGATGTCATCAGATCATGGAGGAGAATAAACACTAAAATTAGAAGCTCGTACAAATTGAGAAATATTAAACACACTCAGTGTCTCAGCCCTGAGAGACGTTACCAATGACACTGCACTTGGAGCTGCTCCCCTTGGAATAACACGCAGACTCCTCGGACCATGGTGAGCTCAACCAGCTGCACTCAGCAGGGCCCGGTGCCTCCTGGTGAACATCACGGAGCTGGCTGGTTACGGGAATATCCGGAATTCGGGAAACGCCTCACCTCATGTAAGGGGCCTTTCAATGAGAGCATGAGTTACCTCCAGGTGAAGCCTCCAGTTGCAGAATCACATCATTCTGTTTGTCTCTGTGGCAGCTGACGCTCATCAGATCTTGTTTAAATTCTCTCACGGGATTGAGTCGCAGGGTCTTGTCTACCTTCCTCACCGCTGTACCCTCCGTGATGAGAACGGAGCTGGACATGTAGTGAGTAAAGGCTCCGCGGCCAAATGAGTGAAGTTATTCCTCACACTCACATCCCTGCGACTGAGGCGAAGACAAGTGGAGGGGAAGGGTAGGAGAGGCCCACGGAGGGCTGCTGGGAGGGAGCAGGCAGGAGGCAGAGTTTGCTGTCCTCCTTCCCTCCATGCTGCATGCTCCAGGCACGTGGATGGCATTGCTGCAGCCCCAGCAGCTGCCACTGTCTAGAATTCGGAAGACATATTTGACACCCGATGTTGCTGCTAAGACCTGTGTGGCCTTGGGTACGTCAAATAACCGCTGTGACCCATAGGTTCTTCCTCTGTAAGATGGGGACCTAACACCCCTTGTGTCAGAAACACTTACTGTCTAGTATCAATGCTGCCCCCCCCCCACCACCCTCCATTCCCAGTCAGGCAGGGCCATGTGACTGATTCTGGCCGCGGGGCTGTGGGGGGAGATGACCACTTCCCACCGAGACATCCCAAGGCCAGCCTGCTGCTCCACGGCTCCTGCTTCCCTGACAGTGAGCACGTGGGCAGACTCCCCGGATGTAACTGGACACAGCATGAATGGCACACGGGCTGTCATGGAGTGAGGCAGCCTAAGGGACAGCTACAGCATAACCCAGAGATTCCAGCCAGCGTGTGGTGTGAGGCCATGGGTTCGCGCACCCTATGGAAAGAAAGAGAAAACCTCTAACAGGAGCGGGACATGGAGTAAATGGTCCTCGTCATTTTCACCGGGGGCTTTATATCCGTTTCTACCTGGGTGGACGGCAGCCTCTCCCGCCTTTCTGGCCCTGGCCCCACTGCCCTTCTCTCACCGAAGGCCCGTCTAGGACAAGGCGAACGGCCAGGCCTTTCAGTGCAGGCAGGAGAGTTTCCTGCTTGGCTCGGCATTCTCTCTCTCTCTCTTTTGAAAGGACCCTTACAGAAGTCCTCGGAAACAGAAGGCGCACCTAGACGGTGGCAATGTGTGTGGATAATTTGGGGGCGAGACCACCTGCTCTGGAACCTACAAACTGCGTGTCACCAAATGAGCAGCTGCTGCAGGTGTGACAGGAGAGCACACATGTTTTGTTGTGACAAAAGCCCCAAACCGCAGAACGACTTCCCCCGGAGCCAGCTAGCAGGGCCCCGTGGTGCAGTCTCACCAGCAGGACTTTATTGACGGGGGTGCTGATGGTGCGGATGCAGCAACCGTCATCTTTCCAATGGCTCTTGGCAAAGTGTGTTTGGACCGGCGTCTGGCACAAACTGAACGCTCAGTCCCGCGCTCAGCACCTCTGACCAAGTGAGTGTAGGCAGATTTGGCCTCTGAGCTTTCACCTGCAGGATAAGGATGAATTCCCATGCCAGCCTTTGGGTCACCGAGAAGACTGAGCAGAGACATAGGAAAGCAGACATGGCAGCATCTGGTACCAGAGTACATGCTCAGCGCATGTTTATAATGATTGCCACGGCCATTGTCATCACCACTGTTGTTCTCCGGACCCCATCTGTGGCATCACTCTATCCCCATGATTACATGGACTGCTCTTGAAGTGCTATTGTAATAATTACATTTGAGAGGAAATTCTCCAAGTTCTCCTTATTATTTCTAGACCAACTTAATTTAGCAAATTAACTCTCTATCAGGCACTGAATTGTATGTTTTCACTCAAGTTATTTCAGTGTATTCTTATAAAACCTGTATGTAATCATTAAAACCATACAGGTGGGAACACATAGGCTCAGCGGGGATCAACAGTAAACAGTTCATATATTTTCACTTTTGGGGAGTACAGACTAAGATCAGATTCTAAAGCCCTTACTTTGCCCATTTTTTGTTATAATTTCAAGTAACATAGGATAGCCACATTGAGGTCTGAGTCCCCTCCTCCTCCTAGCCTATGTAATTTTGGCCAACATAATCCTTCTTTAAAATTAAGTATTTAATAATATTCATAGTTAGATATTATTTTTCTGAGCTTTAATTAAAAAACGCATCCACAGACATTATTTTATTTGAGTCTTGCAATAAACTGTCTAGTGATTCTAGTCCAATAGAAACCCATTCATCCTCTTTTTTCTAGAAAAGGAGGTTAAGGCTCAGAGCAATCAGGTGGCTTGCCTGGGTCATATGGGTACCCAGGGGTCATGCAGAGACATCAGGCAGGTCCCCCATACCCAACCCACGACCCCTCCTCTTGTCCCCATAATCACAGAGGCCACCTGCAACCATGTGTTACTCATCACCATGAGAGAAAAGGTTAAATTTTGTTTCCAAATGCATTGCAGGAAGGACAAAGTACTCTTTCCAACTATTTTGTTTTCTTTGCTGTGAAGAAAATGCAAAAGGAAATACTCCATGCTGGAAAATAGCCCCCAAGGGTACACCGATGAACTCTTTGCCTAAAAATAAACTCAATTTGGCAAGAGCCACCTGCTGTTTCTAATGAAGTGGCTGGGGAAGCAGAGATTCACAGGCCTCAGGGACCTGCTCCCTTTCACTCTTCCTCCCCAACTCCCCACGCCCTCTCCATTTTCCAATCAACGTCTCTGAGACACAATAAACACCTAGTGAGCTGCACATATTTTAAGTGTAGGGGTCTGTGAGTTTGGCAAGTAGGCAGACAGATGTAACCAGCATCCCAAAAGAGATATGGAATGTTTCTGCCACAACAGATAGTTGGCGGATGAGCCTTTGCAGTAAATCACGGATCTGATCTCTCTCATTATAGATTAGCTTTGCCTAATCTTCAAAGAAATGAAGTCAGATGCCTTGTATCTGATTTCTTTGCTCCGTATATTTTTGAGTTGCATCAATATCATTGTGTGTATCTGTAACTTGCTCGTTTACCTTGCCAGCGAGTACTCAATGTACAACTACATCGCAGTTTTCAATGCATTCTATTGTTGATAGGCACTTGCTCGGTTCTAGTTTTTGGCTATTATGACAAATGCTGCTATAAAATACGGACATACAAGGGTTTTTGTAAACATATAATTTGATTTCTCTTGTGAATTGCTTGGTCATATAGGAAGTGAATGTTTAACTTTATCAGAAGCCTCCAAACCTTCTTTCCAAAGTGGTGGAGTTTGAGCCTTATGATAGCACCACACCCTTCATCAGTCTCCTCCCAGCATGCCCTGGGGCAACCACCAGACTGCTCTCTATCCCTATAGACTGGTTTTGCGCTATGGAGAATTCTGTCTACTGTGTTTCCCTGAAAATAAGACATCCTCCGAAAATAAGACCTACTTACAGGTTTCCTTCTGAGTGAAATATAAGGTATCCCCCGAAAATAAGCCCCCCCCCCCAGGCTAAAAATGAGATATTTGGTCCACTGATTCTGAAAGAAATGGAGTCACAAGAAATTCACCAGGAAATTCAGGAATTGGATTGTTATGATGATGTTCCAGAAGATGATGGCATGATTGTCATTGAATAAATGAGTAAATTCTTGATACTGTAGGATTCTCAGTTTGTCTGATTTGTGTTGACAACCACCGTACTACCGTACTGTATACAGGTAATAAATTTCCTTTATTTTCATTTAACAATAAATGTGTACCGTATTCTTCTTCATGGAAAAATAAGACATCTCCTGAAAATAAGACCCAGCGCATCTTTGGGAGCAAAAATTAATATAAGACACTGTCTTATTTTCGGGGAAACAGGGTAAGTGAAATCATGTAGCATGTACTCTTTTGTCTGGCTTTTTCACTAAGGGTACTGCTTTTGACATTCATCTGTGTTTCTACCTGTCTGCTGTTGTGATACTTGTTTTTGCAGAGTAGTATATCATTGTGTGCATGTACCACAGCTTGGTTATTAATTAACCTGTTGATGGACATTTGAGTTATTTCCAGTCTTTGACTATCACAGATAATACTGCTATAAACATTCCTTTACATGTGGATGCATGGACATATGCTTTCATTTTTCTTGAGTAAATAGCTAGGAGAGGAATAGCTGTCACATGGTAGAGGTTCCATTAACTTCTTAAGAAGCTGCCATATTGCTTTTCAAAGGGGTTACAAAATTTTACAATATTTTACAATATATGAGCGGTCTAGGTGCTCCCTGTCTTTCCCAGTTTGGCACGATCAGTCTTGTTTATTTTAGGCATTTCAGTAGGTGTGTAATATTGTCTGATGATGGCTTTAATTAGAATTTTCCCAGTGGCTAATGAGTATTTTTACATGTGCTTGTATTCCATCTATATATCTCTTAGGTGACATGTCTGCTCAAGCCTGTCACCCTGTTTGCTTTTTAAATTGGGGTATCTGCTTTCTTACTATTGAGTTGTCAGAATTCTTCATATTTTTTAAACAAAAGCACTTTTATGGCTATATGGTTTATAAATATTTTATACCAGTCTGTGAATTGCCTTTTCACATTTAAAATAATAATTTTGAGGGATAAAAGTTAAATTATGATGAATTCAAATTTACCAATTTGATTTGAGTTTTATGATTTGAGTTTTTGGTGGCATTTGTAAGTAAGAATACAAAAAGTTTCACCCTTTAAAAGTATTATAGTTTTTAAAAGTATATATAAGTCTACAATCCATTGTGAGTTCATTTGTATGTGATCTGGGACATGGGGTCAAGGGTCAGCTTTTTGCATATGGTGTTTCAGGACCATTCTTTGGAAAAGACTACCGTGTTTCACTGAATTGCTTTTGAAACATTCTTTAAAATCAATTGATCACATATGTGTGGATCTGCTTCTGTGATCTGCTCTATCCAATTGGTTTTCCCCGATCCAATGGTTTCATTACTCCCACCTGTCTTTATTATCGTATGTTTTAATTACTTATTTTTAAATTCAGAACTGTAAGTTCTTCAACTTCATTCAGTGTTATTGAACATGTTTAGATTATTCTTGGTTGTTTTTTGTTGTTGTTTATGTTCACTTACCAAAATGACATAAATTTTAGATTCAACTTGTTGATTTTTTTTAACAAAAAAATACTTTGGGGCATTAAATTTGAATTGCACTAAATCACAGCTTTGGGAGAATTGACCTGTTAACCATATTATGTCTTCCAGTCTATGAACATGAAATTTCTCTCTATTTATTTAAATCTACTCTGATTTCTTTCAAGATATAGGTATTGCACATTTTTTATTAGGATTCCAATTGTTTCATGTTTTTTTCTTTTTATTATAAATAGAACTATTATTAAATTTTATTTTCCAATTGTTCATTTCTGGTATATATAAATATAGTAGAATTTTCTGTTGACCTAGTGGTCCTATAATCTTGCTAAACTCATTTAATACTTCTATTAACTTTTATGTAGCTTCTTTAAGATTTCTATGTAGACAATCATGAAATATTGGGTACAGAAAAATATTTCCAACTGCATGATTTATTTTTCTTGCTTATTACACTGGCTAAGACTTCATTATAATTTGGATATTAGTGGTACAATGAACAAACTCTAATTCTCATATTAAAATGGAAAACATTTGTTTATTCACCATTAAATATAATGCCATTTGTTTATGTTTTGTTTTTATACATGCCCTTTATAAGGTTAAGAAAATAACCATCTATTTCTACCTTGTTGAAGGTTTTTATCATGGATGATTGTCAATATTTTTCAAATACTTATTGTTTTTTTTCAACTATTGTGATAATCATATGATTTTTGTTTTTGGTGTTTTTTTTTTTCATCTGATTGTTTTGGAATGTTGAACCAACATTGTATTCTTTGGATAAAATGTACATATTAATTGAATGGTTAATATTTTGAGGGACACATGTGTCAAATCAACATGACTGGGCCAAGGGGTGCCCATATGGCTAATAAAACGTTATATCTGGGTGTGTCTGTAAGGATGTTTCCAGAGGAGATTAGCATTGGAATCAGTAGACTGAGTAAGGAAGATCCACCTTCCCCACTGTTAATGGGCACCACCCAATCCCCTGAGACTCTGAACAGAACCAAAGCAGCAGGAAGAAGAAATCTGCTCTCACGCTTAAGCTGCAGGTCCATCTTCTCCTGCCCATGGACATTGGTGCTCCTGGTTCTCAGGCCTTTGGACTTGAATCAGGGCGTTAGGCCTTCAGGTTTCTCTGGGGCTCCAGCTTGCAGATAGCAGATTATAGGACTCCTCATCCTCCATAATTGTTTGAGCCAATACCTCATAAAGTAATTCAGTATCTCTCTCTCTCTCTCTCTCTCTCTCTCTCTCTCTCTCTCTATATATATATATATATATATATATAATTGGTCTATTTCTCCGGAGAACCTTGACCAATACAGCATTATATATTTTCCTTTTTATAGAGTAGGTAGTTATGAGTTCATTTTGCTAATATTAACTCAGGATTTTTGTGTCCATGGTTATGAGGAATATTGATTTATGGTTTTCTTTTGAAATGCAAGTTTTTAATTCTGGTGAGGTCAATTTCTTTTCTTTTATAGACCATTATTTTGTTGCCATATCTAAGAATCTTTGTCTAGCTCAAGGACTTGAAGATCTTCTACGTTTTCTTCTGAAATGTTATTTTTCATTCTTACATTTAAGTTTATAACTATGACCTTTTTTCCTGGCTACATTTTCTTCTTGTTATGATTGGATTTCAGCGGTTTAGTTATGACATGCTCACCTGTGATTTTCTTTGCATTCATTCTGCTTAGTTTTGCCAGAGTTCTTGGATCTGTAAGTCAATGTTTTTAATAAATTTGGGAATTTTTTTGACATTATTTCTTCAACTGCATTTTTTTGTATTATTCTTTCTCTTCTACTTCTGTATGTATAATGTATTGTTTCACAGTCCCTAGGACTTTGTTCATTTTTAACAATACTTTTCTTTTTTCTTCTTTCAGTGTCTAGAAGCTTTTGACTGAAAATTATAAATTACTATAGATACTTGGGGTTCTATTTTATTCCTCTAAAGACAAGGTACTTTTCTATTGCTAGATAATCAGATTACTGACTTGCTGTGTTGAAACTTGTAGGCTTAGTTTTGCTTTGTTAGAGCAGATTTGTGGAAATCCCAAGGTTTCCCTGGCCCCTGGAACTTGTAAGATCAAAGCCACCAGACTCTGTGTCCCCTGCAGTCCCATTAACGCATCATTAGAGGGCTTGTTATGGCAGGTGTAGAGAAGAGAAGACCTCACTCTAGGGTGATACTATCACTAACTATGGCCTTTCTGATGTCTCTTTCCTAAGGGTTAAGTAAGTGAGCAGGCTGGAATCTAACATCCCTTAACATTTGACTCTTTTTTTAAAAAAATATTTTTATTGATTTCAGAGAGGAAGAAAGAGGAAGAAAGAGATAGAAAAATCCACTATGAAAGAGAATCATGGATCAGCTGCCTTTTGCAAGTCCCCCACTGAGAATCGAGCCCACAGCCCGAGCATGTGCCCTGGACTGGAATCAAACCTGGGACCTTTCCATTTGCGGGCCGACACTCTATCCACTGAGCCAAACTAGCTAGGGCACGTTTTGACTTCTTGTTTCCCTGTTTCACTTCCATCCCTGTAGGAGGAGCTTCCTTGCAAGCCACACATTGTCTCTCCCTGAATATGTGCAGCCCAGGATTAAGCTAAAACTCTTGGGGCCTTCCCATAGGCTCCTGGGCACTTCCCTCTCCTAGCTCCCTGATGTATGTGTCACAGATTCCAGCTGCTCCAGCTGCCTCAGAGGCTTTCTCTGCTTCTCGGGACAGCACCACTGAAGGGCTCTGCTTGAACTACAGTCAGGGAATCACCCCATGACAGAGAGCTGGGGCAGTTGGGGGGTTGTGGCACTCACCTCGTGAATTTTTATTTTCAGGGATTGGAGCTGAAAATGTTGCCTCATTTATATTGAGTAGTTTCACAGTTGGATGTATGGGTAAGTTTTCTACCAGTTACTCTGTCATAGAAAGAAGCAGAAATTCTCTCCATCATTTTTTGACAATCAAAATAAAAAAGACAATTAGGTCAATTTCAGCTGGCAATCCTAATTGGTTGGTCATGACTGATGGCATTGGGAAGGGGTTTGGGTTTGATTGGTATGTTCTTCCATAGGTGACGGTGGTTAAAGTGAAGACTCATATTACTGACTTGATAACAACCTGTTTCTTGAATTGTAGCTCCTCACAGGAAGGAAGGTCCGCAGAGGTCATCTTGTTTAAATATCTTCCAGGACACGCAGTACTTTTAGATAAGGAAGGGTGCACTTAGTTTTGGCCCAAGCACTCTCATGGTCTGGGAGTCACATGGAGACTTTAATTCTTGGCTTTCTCTGTTCCAGAATTCATGTGGACAGCTCTCATGGGTAGGACTTACTCTTTAGGTATCTAGTGCTCACCTCTGTCTGGTTCTGCTCTCCTTCTTTGGAAACTCAAAAGGGCTATGATTTCTGCTCATGGGATCAAGCAGGATCCCATGACTAGGTTTCAGGAAGGAAGAGTAAGCAGAAGAATTAGGTGTCACTTATGAATTGAAACATTAAGGAGTTGATGTGCCACCCCAGCTTCTGCTCAAGCCTTAGTGATCTAGGAAGCCACATTTTAGAACTCGTGGGGGCCTTTTCATACAGAGAAAGGCTGGGTCCCTGAGTTACTGGATGGATCAGAGTCCCCACCAATTAAACTGGCCCCTTTAAGAGTAAGACATAAACTGTTATTATGTTGAACTACTGAAATTTGAGGGTTTACCTGTAATAGTAGCGATATAGTACTTATTTAGCATAATATACTCAATTCTTTCACAAATTCTGTCTTCTGTTCCATTGAAACATCAACATTCATTCTTTCTCATCAACATTGACTTAAAATTCTAAACCCTTAAGGTAACATTTGACAATGGCCCATCTTCCCCATTATGAATGAACTTCACTAATTTTAACCTCAGAAACTTTACACTGTTCATAACATGGATCTGCCACTTCAAGTCTGTCCTCTTGTCCTCCATGATCAGGTAGTCTGTCCCTGTTATTCAATGACTTTATTTTTAAGCTGAGGTCTTATTCAGGCCTGATACCTAACAAGAGACAAGGATATGCTGAAGAAATGAACAATTGCTTTGAATGCCCAGAGGCCAGCCTCCCAAAGTGAATCCCTGAGAACCTTGGCCTGGCTTCCTGGAATTTGGAGCTTTTCAAACTTCACTACCTGAGGCAAGTCCAGGGGGATGCATGCTCATATCGCATGGCCAAGGGCATCCTCATGTTTGCCAATAATCTTCATTGAGCTAAATTGTTCCGGTCTAATTTAGATTTTCCCAATAATATTTCTCTACGTTTGGCAAATAGAATCACCATGAGCACATCAGTCCAATCCCTCAGCTCCACCATGGTCACCCCCTCAGCTGCAGCATCACCATCATCAACATGAGGGTGAACATCATTAAAACGAGCCCCACAGTTTTATGACTAATATAAATGCTTCATCCATACAACAATCCCTCCTGTGGCTGTGTCCACCCCCATCTCTCTAACAATCACCTTTAAAGTCAATAATCGTTATTGCATCCTTTGCATAGGAGATTATCACCAACACCATCATTATCACTTAATACCTTTATCAGTTAATTCATTCTTTAAGCAAGACTATTTCTACCTGACTTGACCAGGCACAGCCTAAATCTTTAAGAGACAGAGAACAACTTATAAAGTGCCTCTGTGGACCTGTGAAGACAGATGTTTTAACAATTATTTATAGAAAGCATGATTAATGTTGTAATACAGGAGCGATAGGTGCTGCGACAAGACATAAAGGACAATTTTTCCTCAGTGAGTCTGAGACCGTCTCTGGGAAGACATTATTCTAAACTGAGACTTAAATGGCCTGTGAGCGTTAGCTAGATAAAGATGGTATGGAGACAGGTGGTTTCAGGCACAAGAAATAGTAATTCACAAAGGGAACAAATATTTGATGCTTTAGCCTCATTAGTAATAAATATTTAATTAAAAGGAAATACTATAGTCACCTATTAAGTTGGCAAAGGTTATTTAAATATTAATGCCCATTATGTTTAGAAATGCCATGGCTGTAGACTATCGGGCATGGTATAACTGGTATAACTTTCTGGAAGGCACTGTAAAAATAAATTGAGAACTTTCAAAAACATTGCAAATTTTGAAATCATCTTTTAGGAATTCATCCTAATTAAAGAAAAGAAAAAAAGACACAGGGGAAAGGTAAAAAAAAAAGTTCAGTGCAGCCACATAATAAATGATGCACAAGCACTAACATTACAACTTTAAGGACTATGTGTTGACATAGGAAATAGCATATGATGCCACGTAAAATGGCTGAAAGTAGACCATGAGTCAGTGTAGGGTGATAGTCAGGATAGGCTGAGGCCTGCTGCTCTGATAGATAGATCCTCAGGTCTCAGTTACAGGGAAGATTTATTTCTTGCTCTTACCCCATCAGATGCAGCCAACATGGCTCTCTGTGTCTCTTCTTGAAGAAGAGATTCAGGACTCAGGATGCTTCCCCCATAAGACAAACAAGGTGGAGATCGGGTGTGGCTAATTGTGTAAGGAGTTTTGATGCCAGGAATGGAAATGGTGAACATCACTTTCACCCAAGCTTTTGACCAGTCCCAGCTTCGTGTCCCAATTAACTTTAACACAGGTGGAGAAACATAGAGGGACGTATGGCTACTGGGTGAGAATTAACCATCTCTGGCACATTATATGATTTTTTTTTTGGAAAATCAGTCTTTATATCTATTTATCATCAATTCAACCACCACCTGTTCATCCATCCACACCTTCTTTCACCCATTCATGTATCAAGTGGCTTTTAAGGAAAGATTGGAAGAAATGAATAGATGTGCTTTCAGTGATTATATAGATATAATGGATGATTTTTCCTTACCCTGTTCTGAATTCTTTAAATTTATTACATTGTGGGTGTGCTTATATAATCAGAAAAAGTGATGTTCCATTCAATTTTAAAAAGAGCAAGCCAACACACTTGAGTAATCTGCTTGATTGAGGGGGAGGCTCATTTGAATTAGCAGCACCCTGAGTTATAGACTGTTTGCAAAGAAATGCAGCTCTATTACTTCAAACCAGCATCTTGGACCTGCTTTAGTGAATAGGTAGGAATGATTTATAATTAGCCTAGTAATTGTTTGAGTCTAATTGACTACTCCTAACATGGCTTAAGAACTTTCGTATGTGCTTCTGAACATCAACTCAACTTCTCTTTTAGTATCACAGATCTTTGAGCAGGCAGACTCCAAATTCATGAGCTTTAATTGGGAACAAAGACAAATAAATGTTCACACTAATATGGAAATGAAACTCTGTGATGGAGGGAGAAAGAGGTACTTGGTAGTGTGTACTATAAGACAAGCCAGGAGTAACATAGTTTTCATCAAATAGGAACTCACAGAAGTATTTTTCTCAAACCCAAGATGGAAAGTGGTGTTAGACAATTCCAAGGAAGATTTAAAGACACCTCTCTTTCAAATATATATATCTGATTTCAGAGAGGAAGAGAGAGTGAGAGAAACATCAATAATAAGAAACAATCATTGATCGGCTGCTTCTTGCAGGTCCCTTACTGGGATCAAACCCACAACATAGGCATGTGACTTTGACCCGAATTGAACCTGGAACCCTTCAGTCTGCAGGCCAACACTCTATCCACTGAGCCAAACCAGCTAGGAAAAGACCTATTATTATTATTTCTTTTTAATGAGCACTTTTTTTTTTTGGTTAGTCCTCACCCAAGGATATTTCCCCCTTGATTTTAGAGAGAATGGGAAGAGATAGAGAAACATGGATATTAGATAGACACATTGATTAGTTGCCTCCTGCATGCCTCCAGATAAGATTGCAACAAGGCTGGGGATAAGCTTGCAACCAAGGTATGTGCCCTTGACCAGAATCAAACCCAGAACCTCTTCAGTCCTCAGGCCAATGCTCTATATACCGAATCAAACTGGCTAGGGCGCAAAGACCTCTTGTTTTCACTTTACCAGTTCAGGAACACTTCCTGGAGGAACGTCTGGATGTGAAACGATTTCTTCTGTTCATCTGCTTCTTCTCGCAATCTTGTTCTGCAGCCTCAGCAGTCTCTGGAGTCAACATGCTTCTTGCCACCCCAGAGCCTTTGCACAGGCTTTGCACAGTGTCTCAGTGAGTTCATCTCCTTCTTTTCTCTACTTAACTCTCACTAATACTGTAGAACTTACTAATCCTGGCAGAATTCCTTGTTTAGGCCAAACCCCCCTATTGCATACCATATACCTCTTTTTCAAGCACTCATCACAGGACTAACTTCACAATTTACTATGTGGCGTTTTTACTTATACCTATTCCCCCAATTTAAATGCAAGTTGCATGAGAACATAATAACTTATCATTTTATTCATCTTTATTTCTCCAGTATTACACACTGGCCTGGGCACAGAGTCGGCATGCAGTGACTATGTGATGAACTCACGGGTAAATGACAGTCAGTGGGAAAACTGAGGCACAGGGAAGTTAAGTAACTTGCCCAAGGCCTGAGAGAGAGAGAGAGAGAAAAAGAGAGAGAGAGAGAGAGAGAGAGAGAGAGAGAGAGAGAGAGAGGACACACATTTGGCATCCTAAAGAGATTTGTATCATGAAAACAGAAGAGAAAATAACAAATGGCAATTCATATTAATAAATAATGCTGGAGATGCCTAATAAAGATACCACCACTTACCATCTCAGGCACGGTGCCAAGTGCCTCATTTACACTCAATCCCTGCAGAACCTCTGCGGTTGTTTTCATCATCCATATTTTACAATTGAAGGTTGGGATATTAAAAAACTTAGGGGGAGGCTGATACAAGTTTATTTAAGTACGAAATATTTTAAATTCCTTAAGAATAATGTGATGACAGCTATGAGGTTAGACCGGACTACCTGGCAGAAGGAAAGTTCTCACATTTAACTCCTGTGCCAACCTGAGCCCTGAAACAGGAGCAGCTGTAACTGAGAGGCAGAGAGATCTGGGTGGGATGAGGACACTGTGGGAGTTCGGAGGATAGAGACAAGTCTGGGCCGGTGGAAGCTGGGGACACTGGTGGGACGTTTGACACTTGAGCTGGTCCATCTGTGAATGTGTAGAAATGCACAGGGACAGGCACTGCACACAAGGGGCAGCGTAAACAAAGGTCTGGCAGGCAGAGCAGGGCATGGGGCAGGCTGCAGGAGCTGTGGGAGGCATGGTCAGGGGGCATGCACCTGGTTTCCCTGTTCAGGGCTCACCCAGGGGAAGCATCAATGGCCACTCAGAGTCCAGGTGATGTAGCCGTTTAGAGCTCGGGCATGGGTGTGGCATGTGTGCCGATGTGCCTTGATCACATGAGGCAAGGTCCTCAGACAGGTGTCCCAGAGACTGTTTAGGGGACTCATTTTGAACTTATTTTTGGACTGGATACTCACAATGGATGGACACTCACTATCTCAGTTCTCTCTCTCCCTCCTCTATCTCCATATATCTCTCTCAAACTATCTTTATCGCTCTCTCTCTCTATCTCCCTCTCCCTCTATCTCTGTATCTCTCTCCCTCTCTCCCTATCTCTATCATTATGTCTATGTCTATCTCTATTCCATCTCCATTTCTCCATATCCTCTATCTCTATCTCTATCTCTATCTCTATCTCTATCTCTATCTCTATCTCTATCTCTATCTCTATCTCTATTTCTTTCTATCTCAGGAGTGGGGACCCTTTTTTCTGCCAAAGGCCACTTGGATGTTTATAACATCATTCAAGGGCCATACAGAATTATCAACTTAGCAATGAGCCTGCTATATGTGGTCACACATTTAATTAACTCACCCTTAATGCTCTGAAGGCTTTATATGTTCCCCATCCCTGCTCCATCTCTATCTAAGAAGGAACTGGCTCATGAGAGTATGGAGGCTGAGAATCTACGACCTGCCATCTACAAGGTGGGGGCACAGCAAAGCCAGTGTCCTATTGTAGTCCGAGTCCCAGGCCTGAAAACCAGGTGTGCAGGGCCAGCCTGGGGGGACCGAGAGTAGGGCAGGCTTAGGCCCTTGGCAGAGACAGAGACTGCGCCTGTGGCTGGTCTTCTTGTTCCCTCCAGTCCCTCAGTGGACAGGGTCCACCTGGAGGGAGCTGTGCTTCACTCACTCTGGAAATAACCTCACAGACGTGCCTCTTGGAGACCGGGTGTAAGCTGACACGGTCCTTGCACTCAAAGGGGCTGGCCAGGCTGGCCCCCTACCCACACAGTTTTCCCAGACTTGTTTGGATGGCGACTATCAGTAGAATGAGAGCAACTTTTGTAGAATGAGAGCAACCTTTCATGGCTTGCCAAGAAGTCTGTAACTATTTACTGAGATTGTCTGTGCTGAGAATTTGTCCTTATGCTCTATCTCTCCCTTAGAGATTAAGAGGAACAAAGAATACATTCATCTTAACAGACCTCCTATTCAGTGTTTTGGGTATAAAAGGCATTATATAGTTAACAAACTTGCTATAGTCTGTCAAATTACAAAACAACATGTGCAATGTGACACTATTCAAGTCAAGCACACACATGTGGTAACCATGCACATGAGTGTCACAGGCTGGTTACTGGTTATCACCAAGGACAAGAGTGCACTTTAGACTTTTGGTCAAAAGGAACTTTAGAATTTTCCCGACTCTTTTCATTTGTTACAGGAGAAGATGTTCACTCAGAATTTGTCCACTCAACTTTAATTTTAGAAAACACCTAGACCAGGTTTGTTTCAGGGCGATTTGGGAGCCGCATCTCCACCCTGCTGACAGGCCTGTTTTCAGAACAATGTAGCCCCTGGCAGGGCTGAGCCCTGGAGTTCCTAATTGTAAGGAAAGGCTGGGCGGGGGTGGGGTTGGGAGGGTGGCACAGAGGGCCAGCCACCTGTTGGCTAGCAAGGGAGGTAGAGTATAAAAGGGGAGCGGAGGCAGAAGGCCATGTGTGACCTGCAGGTCTCGTTCTGGACGAGCCTAGCTACAGCGCCACTGGTTATCTTGTCCATGATGAAAAGTGTCATTATTTCTAACATTGCACACCAGCTGGCTGTTGAGGTACTTTTCACTATTATTTGTCTCCAGTCTGATTGAGATGTCATTGACAAACAGCTCTGTGTGAGTTTCAGGTGTACAGCACAGTGACTTGACCTCCCTACAATGTGCAGAGGGACTTGTTAGCAGGTGACTCAGTCTTCTTGGCAGCATACTGGAAAGGGGGAACCACGGACCACCTGGCCTAGGAATCCATGGTCAGCAGCCTTCAAAGTGGCCCAGGATTCTGTGAACCAACAGACAATTGTAGAGAGTTTAAAATTCAAGGTTCAGCAAGTGGGCGGTTTGTAGAAGCCACCACCTGAAGCAGAAGCAAATAGAGGTAGACAGGAAAAGATATAGATGCTGGGAATCAGAAGATGCCCTAGGTAAGCAGATACGGGGAAGGAAAAACTGGAACAGAGCTGGAGACACAATTGTGAGGCCCTTGGGCAAAGACCAGAGGAGGCTGTTGCTCAGGTCTATGCTCCCAGCCAAGATTTTGCTGCTGAGAGGTTGACCAGATGCCCTGGAAGTCACAGCAAAGCTGTATCCCCAAATTCCTTGTTGCTGCCCCGTCATTAGAGGGGTCCTTACTTTCTCAAGTGTTCTTTCAGAGAAAAAAAAAAAGAGCTGTCCAGTTCTGGCTTTAAAACCAGATTAGCTGGATTTTTAATCATGACTCTACTAACGATTCAATTATCTAGGTCATGTTTCAATGATTTTTAAAATCCATGCTTTTTAAGGCTCAGGAAAGTTTGTCTCCTGCTTCTTTCATGAATTCCTGGACCATCAGTGAGAGGTCTGTCATGTGTGTCACCTTCACCAGGCTGATGTGGCTGCCACCTTCCCAGGGAAAGGGGTCCTTAGAGCTTTCACTTGAGAGTGACATGTCACATCCAGTCAGAGCTTATTGGCAAAGCAAGTTACCAGGCTCACAACCTACACAGACAGGGAAGGCCAATAACCTCTTGTATCTAGGCAGTGGAAACTCAGGCATATTGGGGTGAACCCATGGATGGACACCATAAACATCATTAATTGTGTTACTGCAGCAACTTTGCTAACTTCTCTGGACCTCAGATTTCTCATCTTTAGAATGGAGGCAATTAGAGTACTTAACAAGCTGTTCAAGAAACAAATGCAAACCACAAGTACATGGCACAGTGTATCATTCATTACACGTTCTCTGTAAGTATTGGCCCTATATAGCTAGGAATTAACCAATTCCTATTACTTGCAGTAACTTAGTGCAACCTTCCTCCTCGCCTAAACCAATAAATGGGGCACTGCTCCCCAGAATTCCTGTAGCCAAGTTCTCTGTGCCATCCATCTACAGGATGTCAGAAAGCTAGTATATCCAGGAATCTATGGCATTGAAATCAGCCTCAGGTTTGTGAATCCAGACATGCAGCTACATTTTCCGTTGGGTCCTTTGCTGAGCCAAGGAGAGAGAAGCCTGTAACGGGGGGAGCTAGACACCGAGCACAGTGAACACACAGCAGGAGAAACGGGTCCAGGAGCTTCTCCCAAGCTTCCTCGGTGCCAGGGACAGGATCAGGGATGCTCACATGTGGCAACAGAAGGATGCGCAGGAGGCAGACAAGCAGATGCGAGTTATTTTTAAAAAGAGGCAGAAAAAAAGGTGTGGGAAGAGGAAGCTATAGACAAGGGAGCTCTGAAGCTGCAGGTTGGGCGATGGCTTGGGCATCGTATGGAGAAAAAGGTCTGTCTGGGTTGACAACCTGGACCATTATTCAGGGAAGAAAGAATTTGTTTGAAATTATAGAAAAGCAGGTATCAGAGGCACCTCCCATTTCCAATGCCCTAAGCTCCAAGAAGGAGAGAATCATCATTTAACCCAGAAGAGTTCAAAAGTGACGGAAAACTAACTTTGAACTACGGAAACAGAAAGAAAGCTATTGGTCACAAGAATCGCACCGTCCAGGCAGAACTGCCTGGATACTGAGCGGTATCACCAGGTTGTCGATTTTTCTGTTTTGTTCCTCAGTGTTGGTTCCATTCTCAAGCAAGTTCTTCTTTCCTGGTGCCAGATGGCAGCTCGAACCTCAGTCCTACCCCATCTTCCTGTCATTCTTATTAACAAGGGTTCCTCAATCCCAGTCACCCCTGCAAGAGTTCTGAGATTTTCTCTGATTGGTGAGCAAGCATATTCCAGAACTGGCAAAGGTGACAGATTTTCTAATTGGCTAGGAGAGGGTCACATGATTAACCCCAGACCACAGAAGGAATCAGCTTCACTAGCGCTACATGAACTGAGTAGGAAAAAAAAAAAAAAAAAAAAAAAAAAGAGTAAATAACAAAGAAATATGATGGTGCCTAAAGATGGAGGAAAACAGGGGGCAGGCAAACAAGAAATGTGACCAGGTTTTATACCCTATGACTCGGCCGTGCTCAGCACCATCGCTGCCCTATGGATTCCACTGCCACCAACACGAGTGGCTTCTCAGTGTAGCTCATCTCCAGCCCGGCGGGAGGGCCAAGGCCTCTGTCGTCTGGGAGCCGCAATCTCTCTCATTCCTACCAAAGAGCATTGGCTTCTCTGCCTTGCTCTTTGGTTTTCTGGAGGAGCCCAAACCAAACCTTTCTGTGAATCCCAGAACAGTGGCTCAGGGCTTGAGAGCACACTTCCTTGTTGGTTGCTCCTTGTACCCAGATCTGTACATCTTCCCCTAAGTCATGAGCCTGCGTCTGGCTCTGTATCACAGAAAAATTCAGAATCAAGATTCTGAGCCCATGTGGCATTGACTGCCTCCACTTTGAAGTGAAACTTAAGAGGCAAAACCCAATCTTATTGGGAGAAGAGACTTAGAAATGCCCTGCAGAGAATGGGGACTCACCTTTTCCAGTTGTCCCATAAAAGCATCATTATTATTTTATGGGACATTCCTTCTCATCTGGCAAGCCTGCACTGGTTCTCCAAGGCCCATTTCAAAATTTATGTGTTCTCTGAGCCATCGCCAACTCCCCTAAAAGCGATCACTTGTTTCCATTCACCTTGCTCCCCATAGTGCATGGATCATATTCATTATAGCTCTGAGTTCTTTGAGGTTAATTTTTCTTATTCATTCTGGTATCATCAGTGCCTGGGTGGTAGGCAAGTACTTAATAAAAGTATGATGGATGAATGAATGTGAATGATGGAGTATGCAGATTGAGCTGGAGGAAACATTAAGACTTTATAAGATCCAAACCATTGATTATACAGATGAAGAAATGATCAGCTAGTGAAGGCAAACAGCTCACACAAATACACACCGAAAACCCCCAGCTACATGGAAATGGAGGTGTCCTAATTATCAACCCATAGTTCCTTGTGTTACAGTTCTGTCCTGCAGGGGGCACTCAGTCTCAGCGTTTTGCATACATTATTTCCTTCACTCTTGATAAGCCTTATTAGCTCTACTTTAATGATAAGGAAGCAGAGGGTCATAAAGGATTGCTAATGTGTTTGCCCAGCTCTGTGAATGCTTCAGGAGCAGTTTGTCCAGTGTGTCTGAGCTTCCTCCTGTCTGGTCACCAGCCGGGAAAGCACCCAGAGCCCAGCCTTCCTCGTAGACAGGCCTTCTTTCCTGTCTCACTCCTTCCCTCTGGCAGGCTTCCCAGTCACTGAAATAGAAATGCTTCAGTACAAATGATGCCTGTAGCCTGGGATCCTGCTTTGGCTGCCAGGGGGAGCAGGAAGGCTTTGGCGGTGGACACAGCTGCCTCTATGGTCCTGGCAGAAGCAGACAGCACAGCTTCCCTGGCTCCTGACCTGGGCCTGTGAGGCGGGGAAGAGAGAGGGGACCGGCTCCAAAATCTGATGGCTTTATGCTGAAATTTTCCATGAAGTGACTCTATTTCCTCCCCTGGAAACCCTGTAACTAAGGCAGGTTATATCCATTCTTGATCATCATAATAACATCTTATGTATTACCTGCCATATGTGCGTTATATATATAATCTCAGATGATCCTCTTGACAGTTTAGTAAGGGAAGTGCTATAATTATTCCCACTGTACCGTTAAGAAAAAAAGAGAGTCAAACTATGTTTAGCAACTTACATAAAGTCACCCACTTAGAAACTGGCAGGGCCAGCGGGGCACCGAGGCAGGGTGCCGCAGAGCCCACATAGGTAGCCACTGACGGAGTGTCTCATGATAAAATTAGAATGTTTTCATTCACACCCTGCTTTGAGATCTCTCTACCTATGCAACTTTGTGTAAACCTTGATGTCCTCATCTATAAAATAGAGCTAAAATGCCTATTTGATAAGTTATGTGTTTATCAAATAAAGTTATGTTCACAGGAATATATTACAAAATATATTTTTTCTCAGAGGTAACAGAAAGCTCTGAAATGAAGACCTGATTTCA